TCCTCCTTCCGACCCTCCTCTGGGTATGGGTGTGTGTGTTGTTCGTCCGCCAGCCGCCTCTCACGTCAGCCTTCAAGTGTGCCCTCGAGGGCGCGAAGTTCTTCGCGCTTCGCGGTTCGGCTCCGATGTCTCCTCGTCCTCCATTTCTCCCTTTGGGTGGCGGCGCGAGGGCGCGAAGTTCTTCGCGCTTCCCGCGGCGCGACACGCGAAGTTTGGCGCCCAAGGAATGTGAACCTGCTGTGGGCTGTGCGAATTGTTCTTCGAACGCTCCTGGCTGAGGCCGTCTTGTTCTAAGACATCGGCTTCATGTTCTGAGAGCGTGGTGCTTGTTTCTGTGGTGAGCCGATGGGAATGTCGTGGTATGCCGAGGACGTGGTCGTGAGAGCATGTCGTGGTATGGCGATAGGAATGCCCGGACGGTCGGTCCTTGCTCAATTTCAGTCTCCCCACACACAACACACACAATGTTCGATCATGCCGCATTTTCCGCCTCTCACTCCTGCCCGCTTTCCCTCCAGAAGGGGCCGTCTCCAGACTTGAGCGTCGCCCCGCCCACAGGGCCCCCTCTCCGTCGAAGGTCGCTGTCACTGGCCACTCAGATCCAAGCTTTTCGTGGTCCCTCGTAGCTCAGGGAGACTTCCCGTGTCCCTCCCCTGTCCCCTCCTCCTCTTCTTCCTCCTCCTCCTCCTCGTCCTCCTCCTCCTCCTTCTCGTCCTCCTCCTCCTCCTCCTCCTCATCCTCCTCCTCCTCCTCATCCTCCTCCTCTTCCTCATCCTTCTCTTCCTCCCCCCTCGTCCCCCTCCTCCCCCTCCTCCCTCTCCCTCCTCTCCTCCTCCTCCTCCTCCTCCTCCTCATCCTCCTCCTCCTCCTCCTCCTCCTCCTCCTCCTCCTCCTCCTCCTCCTCCTCCTCCTCCAGGGCCCCTGCCCCTCCCTCTGCTTGCGTGTGCGCTGAGTCTCGATCCTGCCGCTGCCTCTTGCAGGTTCTCTCTAGGGAAGGCCAGCGCGCCTCGCGGCGCGCCCGCCGCTCGGCATTGCGGCCCGCCTCCGGCCTTCGCGGCCGGTTCGTTCTCTCGTTCGTTCTGGGAGTCCTTCGCTTCGACAGCTCCTTTTGTCTTGCATGCTGCCCGCTGCCCCCCCCTCGGAGAAGGAAAAGGTAGATACCCATACCTCTACCCCTCTCTCATTTTCCCCGCTTTGGGACCTGCGAGGCCCTCGTCGCCACCGCTGGATTCGCCTCGAAGTCCTGGTCAGCACGCGCCCCGGGAGAGGTCCGGGGAGGTAGAGGCATCGGTAGCTTTTGGTTCTCCCAGGTGCGAGCCGTGGCGCCCAGGGCCCAGGGTTAAGTCGGGCATGTCCCTCCACAGGGGAAAGATTCGAAAATAGTCCAAGAATAATATGGGGACGATGTTTCTACTCTTCTTTTCTTTTGAATCTTTGTCGGTCTTTTTTACTCTTCGTCCACGATCCGCCTGTAGGGGGGCATGCCCGACCTGAGAGCAGGGGCACCCGTACCCTGCGGTTCCCCCAGGCTCCGCTTGCTGCCCGCTGTCCCCCGCCGCACCCCCCCCGCGCCACCGGTGCGGGCCGTGGCGCCCAGGGGCCGGCCCCCCCCCCGGCCTGTGCGAGGAGCTACCTGCGGATGACCAAGGAGGGCGTGGCCGACGGCAGCGGCAGCAGGCGGGCCCCGCCCGTGCACCGCCGCGGGCGCTCGCTCGGGGGAGCACACAGGGGGTGCCTCCGGGCGGCCGGCGCGGCGCCGCGAGTCCACGCTTCAGTCCCAGGCATGGTCGCGTCGTGAGAAGATATCGGGACGGGAGGTTGTGGGGCCATTCGAAGAAGGAGAACGGCATGCACAGCAACTGTTGGCACTCCGCGCGGAGTTCTTGCATCCGCGCTGGGCCCCCCCCCCCCCCTGGACGGCGCCTCCGGCGCCGCCCCTGGCGCGCTCCGCCCGCCAGGGAGGGGGTCCCAGGCCAGATCCGAGAAGTCTGCGCGGAGCGCCTAAGGTTCATGTTTATGCCGTGTCTTCTTTCTCCAGATTCAGGAGGATCGATGGTTGGTGGGGACAGGGTCCGGGTGTCGCCACGCAAGGGAACGCCAGTCCCGAGGAAGAGCAGGGAATGCACCATGAGGGAAGCCAGCGGCGCGCCACAGGTTTCTCGAGTAGGAGGTCGACTGCAACATTGCTTTACCCCAAGACTGACTCGTTCGTCGAATCTTCAAAAAAAAGTACGTTAAGCGATTGTAGGTTTACGAACATTACAGTGGAGGCCCATGCCAATGAACACCCAGCTTGCCTCCAGGGTGCCCTGGGTTTCTTGGGTTTCGACGGTTTTGCTATGGAAAGTGTGACGGGCCCACTCCAAAAATCAATGGACGTCTTGAGGTCTCAGGGTTGGGTTTCTTGGGGAAGGTTTCTTGTGGACTGGCCTCCACTGTACACGTATTTTCTCGTATACTCGATGAAAAATCCATTTAGGGTAAATCAATTATGTAGTCCATGTCCTGCTCGAACCGTGAGGGAAGTGAGCGGCGCGTGGGAGGTTGTGGGGCGAGGGCCGCGATATGCTACGAGGGCGGTGGCCTGCTCCCAAGGACACAGCGGGCTTCTGTAAGGAGGCCTCCTGGAAGCTTGGAGGTCAAGAAAAGGCCCAAACAGGGGCCCTTTAGGGCCCTTCTTTTTAGGGCGCTTTTGTTTACCCCCCATTTGGGTCACCCTCCACTACCACTCGCCTGGATGAGTCCACGCTGGTTTCGAAAGTACGCATTGCGCGAACGTTCGTATAACGAGGCTGGTCTCGCGGCCTGGGAGGCCGTATCCATGAACGTGGTTGAGCGCGCATGTCGTTCGTGGGCTCCCATTTGCGAAGCGCCAGCGCCTTTTCAGAAGCTCCCCGCCTTCTTGAAAAGCTGCCCCCATTCGTGCACGCCTGCAAAGAGGGGCTCTGAGAAGGCTCGCCGTGCTCGGCCGCCCGAAACCCTTCGAGGAGCCCCGGGAAGTTAAAAAGACCCTCCCGGGATGAGCCGCAGTGTCCTGCGTGGGGGAGGCCTGGAGGAGGAGGAGGAGGAGGAGGAGGAAGATGGATGAGGAGGAGGAGGAGGAGGAGGAGGAGGAGGGAGGAGGAGGAGGAGGAGGAGGAGGAGGGGAGGAGGAGGAAGGAGGCAGGAGGAAGGAGGAAGGCTGAAGACCCAGGGGGGTCCAGGGCCAGTTTCCTCAGGTCCTCTTCCCCTCGTAGCAAGGGGTGGAGCCCTGGGCTCGCTGGGGGACCTCCGAACAGGGGTGGACCTGACGGGGCGTTCGGCGATTTCGTGGGCCGCTTTCGTTTCGATGTCGTTTTGCGGTGAAGGCGGATTGGAGGCAGCACGCGGGAAAAACGACGACAGCACGAAAACGAAACACACCGTTGAGGTCCAGCCCTGCCTCCAGATACAGAGTTGTATGTTATCGTGGCGCCATTGGAGAAGAAGATGGTGAACGGAGCACCCGAACTCTGGAGTAGCCCCAGCACTAAGGAAAAACGATCCACCACCAACTCCACGATCAGCAGCAGGAGCTAGCCGATGTGGTGATGGAGGTAGCATGTCCAGTGACCTCGCCAGAGACGCACCGGAGACCTCCAGCTGCGGCGGCGTCGGCACTCGACCAGTGAAGCAGGCGCTCCACCGTCTTCGAAGCCCTCCTGCTCCTCCTCCTCCTCCTCCTTCCTCCTCCTCCTCCTCCTCCTCCTCCTCCTCCTCCTCCTCCTCCTCCTCCCCCTCCTCCCTCCACTGCCGTGCTCTACCATGCATCGCGCACTCTCTCGCGATCATTGCCCCGCTCGACATCCGACTGCGCGAAGAGAGAGGATGTCTACGCTATGGTGAGGGATGTGAGGGAGGGGTAGGACGTCATATCTGACGCGAGCGCACCCAGCTTGTCCCACCCCCCGCCCTCCCCTCCCCGGATCCATCCCCTCCCCCTCCTCTCGCCTCCCTCCCTTCCTCCTCCATTTCTCCTCCCCTCCTCCTCCTCCTCCTCCTCCTCCTCATCCTCCTCCTCCTCCTCCTCCTCCTCCTCCTCCTCCTCCTCCTCCTCCTCCTCCTCCTCCTCCTCCTCCCTGACCTTGCCCTCCCCCCTGTCTTAGGGGGCGTGTCGGGCGTCCTGGGCGCCCTCTCGTGGGTGGAGGACTCCTCTCCCGGGGCTCCTATAATAGCCCCCCCCCTTCTTGGGGGCCCCGTTGGCCCCTCTTGTCCGGGGGCGGCAGAGAGGGGGATGAGGACTAGGGGTGGGGGATATCATGGCGGGGGCCATGATGTCTCCCAAGATTTCATGGCGCCTCTTCTCGTTTCAATACGTCCCCGGCCCCCCCCCACTCCGGCCGCGCACATGCCGCCGGCCATGATTTGCGCCCCCCCCCCTCTCGGACGTCCCCGTCTTGGCCGCCACCTCTTCGGAGGGCCTTTCTGTTTGGCCCTCTCGGCGGCCTCTCCTCGACACTCTCGGGGCGCTCTCGGGCCACCTCCGGGGGGCCCTCTTGGGGGCCGTCTTGGGCCTGCGGACAGCCTGGGGGACGTGGCGAGAGTGCGAAGCTCCCTCGGAGACCATCGGAAACATGCTCTGGGCATCTTGGGAGCGCCTTTGGGGGCCGCCCTAGATGGCCACCTTGCATGATCTGGCCGCCTCTCCGGCGCGTTGGGGATCCTCTTCACGAGCGAGCTCTTGGACGGCATCCTGGGCATCTTGGTGGCCGCGGGGGGGGTTCTCTCGGGCCAGGGAGGTGCGCCGGGGAGCTCGGGCACCCACCCGCGCATCCTCGGCCCCCCCCCCCCCTTTCCACCGGAGTGTCGCGCCCCTGAAGGGGAGGTGAAAAAGGGGGGACGGGGACAGCCAAATGGTTCGCACGCATGCTCCCCCCCCCCCCGCGGTGGTCGGCAGACTGCTTGTTGCCTCGGAGGAAGGAGGAAGACGAGGGGAGGAAGAGGCAGGACGAGGGGAGGAAGGGTGGGAGTTCGAAGGGAGGATGGGGAAGGACGGAGGGACGAAGGGAGGGTGAGGAAGGACGATGGGAGGAAGGGAGAGCGGGAGGAAACTCCTCCCTTCCTCCCTTAGTCCTTCCTCTCCCTGCCTCCCTCCCTGACCCCTCCTGGCCTCCTCCTGCAGCGCCGTGCGAGCCCCCGCCCCGCGACCATTCCGGGGGGGGGGAACCCGGCGGTTGCGGGCCACGGGCACGGCTGCCGATCGCAGAGGAGTCAGGAGGGGAAAAAACACACAGACACCATTAACCGTCGATATCCAGGAAAAGATTAGAAAATATGGGAAGTGGGAGGGAAGACGAAACCCCCAAAAATATGGGAAAATATGGGGAATAGTTTTATTTGTGTGTATTTATTTGTGTGTCCTGGAGCCCCTTCAGTGTTTGCCTATCGCAGAGTAGGGCAGCAGATCGGCCTGGAGTGCAGGATCGAGGCACTGCAGTGCCTCTCTCAGACTCCCTTCTGCCTGGAAGCGTCTCGCTCCACAGCTGCAGTCCCTCTGGACCCCACGAGCTCGAATCGGATCGAACCGAGTCGAATCCCCTCCTTCCCGCCTCCCTCGCCTCCCCCTTCTTCCTGCCGCTTCCCTCTCCCCCCGCCGTCCTCTGCCGGAAGCCGGGCGCCCAGGAACCAGCTGGACGTGCAGTTCTCCATCGACCGAGGAGGCGGCTGCCGCCCCGGTGGGGCAATCGTGGGAAATCTGCTGCCTGCGGCGGCAGCTTGCGGCCCCGAAGCTGGGCGCCTGCCTTGATACACTGGCTCAGCGCGGCTAGCGGCGTGAGCCAAGATCCCTCATTTCCTTCCCAGGCGCCCCCAGTAGCTCTTCCAGCAGGGCAACTAGGGCAACAGCAACAACAACAACAACAACAACAACAACAACAACAACAATCAGTTTAAGACTGCTCGCGCCTTATCTGCTCACGTGCCAATCAGTTCGTACATCCCAAACCCTCGGTACCCGCCCTCGTCGTCTTCGATCGTACCACATACCCCTTGGGGGTATATCTTCGTTACCTGCCACGTGTATTTAATGCAGCCCCTTCAACAACGGAAGAGAGGACGGGTGAAATGTGGAGTGAGAAAAACGAGACAAATTAGCAGGAGGGGGGCAAGGAGCAGAAAACAAGTGGCAGAACCAAACGGGCAGATCGGGTGGGCAGACTCATAGCGGGCAGGTCGGGAAGGCGGGCCCAAGCGACGAGGTCGAGCAGGCGGGTTGTTGAAGGAGAAAACCGCAGGAGAAGAAGGGGGGAGGCGGGAAGGAGTGGCAGGAGGTGTGGAGGGACAGATGCGGGTGCGGGTGTTGGGCCATGGGGTGGAAGACGACGGTGCCCTGGTGGCCCACTCCTGCTCGTCAGCGCGCGCTCCTCGTCGGCGAGCGAGGGGGGAACTGAGATGGAGAAGGCCTTCTCCGAATGCGGCGGGACTTCCCAGAAGGCCTCCATCTTTCTAAAGGGGCTTCCCGCGCCGTCGGAGAAGGCTGGGGCGGGGGGACTTCCGAGCCTTCTGGGAGGGCACGCCCCTTCTCACTTCCCTCCCCTCGCTCGCCGCTCCTGCTCTTGCCACTCTTGCATGCTGGCCAATTCGCTTCTCGGTGCCCCCCCGTCCAGCTCTGTCGTTGGTGCAGCAGCCCTGCCTCGCCGCCGACGGGAAAAGAGTGAGTGTGCGCTCCAGCGTGCCGCCTGTCCAGCTGCGCGCCGGGTGCGCCAGGCCGCGCGGGAGCGGGCGCGCTGCGTGGACGGGCTTCCTCCGGCGGAGGCGCGAAGGCGGCAAAGGTCGCGCCGCGCGGGCGCGGCGACATCCCCGGCGCGAACGCCGCCCGAGTGTTCGGCTCGGCCGAGCTCGGAAGACCAGCGCCATCGGGGGTCGGAAAGCCGCGGCGATCGTGGAGCAATCCACGAAGTGGCGATCGCTTTCTTCTCCGTTGTTCTGCCGATCGGCGCGGGCCCTCGCACCACCCCTTTGTCGCCCCCTGCCCCAATGGAGTCGATATTGGCTGTTGTTGGCGCCTGTTTCGAGCAGGTGGAATCTCCCCCGCAGGACGCATTGCGATAGAGAGGTCCAGAGCCAGACCCCCCTCCCTTCCCTCCCACCCAATGTTGAAGCGCCGAGTAAGAATGCTCCCGTGACAGAAACCAGCGTTAAGTCGGGCTCTCGTCCTTCTACAGGTGGAGCCTGCGAAAACAGTTCATACAATAGTTTTGGGACGCTTTTCGCGTATGTTTGATGATCTTAGAAAATATATTATAAAAAATCGATTGGTTGGAATGTTTCCTTCAGTTCCGCCTGTAGGGGGACACGCCCGACCTGAAACCAACGCCGACCCCTTCGCGACGCGAGCCCGCCGTAGGCTGGCCGCGCCCGCACAGGTGCCCGCCCGTCGCCTTATGATGTTCCAACCCACCTTAGCCTTGACCGCCAGAAAGGATTTCGAGCACCAAGAGAGTTCCGGAACTGGAGGGTTTTGCACGTGTCGGGCCTTGGGAAGCGATACTCGCTCGACACTGTTTCGATACTTTTCTTTCAAGAGCGTAGGAAGCGCCCCTACCCTGGATTTCGAGGCGCTGTGCGCTGAACTTTCTGTTGGCTGACAGGGTATATAAACCCTGCGTCTCGCGCGTGTCGCGCGGCGTCCTGGCGGCTCTCTGGCCTTCTCGGGAGTCCCCAGGAGGTTCACAGGCCACGCACTTGTAGCCCAGGGTATGGGGCGTCGTTTTCATCCCTCCTTCTGGGTGCTCTCTGGCCTCTGGGAGTTCCCAGGAGGTTCACAGACCACGCACTTGTCACCCAGGGTAGGGGCGTCGTTCTCATCCCTCACTCCGGGTGCTCGAGATTGTGTTGGAGATCTGGCCCCCACGTACGATGGGAGCAACGGAGCCGTCGCCGCGAGGACGCATCGCGCCTGGAGCGGGCAGCACCCGTGGCCCGAGGGCTGCACATTGCAGGTTTTCTTTTTTTTTAAGTCGGGCACGCCCCTCTACAGGAGGAATACTGAAGAACAGCTCCAAAAATAGTCAGAGGAATGTATTCGTTTTTTGTTGTTTTGAGGTTGCCTATGTTTGGAGCATGTTTGGACTACTATTATGTTTCGTCCAACATCCGCCTGTAGTGGGGCATGCCCGGATTGGATTCCCCCGAATCGATTCGATTCGATTCGATATCAATTGCTTCCGTTTCCGATTCGATTCAACTTGGGACTCAGATTTGGGTTCCGATTTTGGCTCCGACTTCTCATCGGAGGCATACTGGCCTGCCGATGTCTGCCGCTTCGACTCTTTCCCGTCTCGGCTGCCGATTTCCACCGATCCGATTCCTTTCGATCGCCGATCCCGCTTATCTCAAGGGAGGTAAAAACCAGCCAGACCCCGACAACTGGCGTTTACTGAACGGCCCTGGGCGTCTACGAAACAGCCCTGCCATGTTCGAGTCCTTCCTTGGACGTGCGTTCACCACACGGCGTCGCTCTGTCGGGGGTGCTTCTCGTGGGGGCGCGTCGTCTGCCCTCTGCCATCGTGTGGGGCGTCGCCTGTCGGGGTGATTCTATTATGGGGGTGATTCTTATGGGGGCGTCGCTTTGTCGGGGGGGATTCTTCATGGGGGCGGAGCTCCTGCCCTCTGCTGTCGATTCGGTTCGGGGCTCCCCCTGCACGCGCGCACCCCGGGCTCTCGTCGTGCCCGGGCCCTCCGCCTCGGAGCGCTCGTCCTTCGGGCAGCCGCCGTGGGGCCCTGGGCCTCCGGTGGCCAGGGGTGAAGTCGGGCGTGTCCCTCCACGGGAGGAAGATTCCCGAATGGCAAAAAATCGTATGGGGACGATTTTTCATTTTTTTTTCGCATTTTGGAGTTTTGACTATTTTTCATGTTTCCTCCATCCGCCTGTAGGAGGACATGCCCGACCTAAGCCAGGGTAGGAAAATTCACCCCAACTCCTCGAACAGGCGGTTCGTGAACGCGCCCGGGCGTTGCCTAGACAGTCCTGCCATGTGGTGATCCTTGTTTTATGTTCATTGTCTTGCCGATCGGCGCGGGCCCCCAAACCCCCCCTTCCCCCCTCCCCCCATGGAGTAGATCTTGGCTGCTTTATGGCGCCTGTTTTTCGAGCGGGTGGAGTTTCCCCCAGTGAGGCCGCACTGTTGCAAACAGTCGCAATAAGCAGAGGTCTGGAGCCAGACACCCCCCCTCCCCCCCCCTTGCCGCCCAATGTCGAAACGCCGAATAACAAAACAAAAATGCCCACGTGCGCTTCCTTCCTCGGGTGCGTTTACTCAAGGGCTTCGCTCGTTGGCGTGTGTTTGCCGCGGGGGTGCGGCGGTCCCGGCAGGCCCTGCCATCAGGGACGGCCTCCCTGTGCAGTTGAGGTCGGTGGCCGCCGACAACGTGCGCCGGGATCGGGGAGGCGATCTTCTGTTGTGGAGGACGATCAATAGAGAGGAAGCATGTTGCCAAATAATTTCCAAATGCTTAACATGTGTAAACATGTTTTCCGAAATGTAAAAACATGGTTGAGACATGTTTAGAACATGGTTCGCACATGTTAACCGCATCTTCCAATTCAATGACAGGATTGTTAGGGTGTCCATTGTCATGGCATCCACAAACCATCTGGATGGGTGGGGGAGCGCTCCCCTGAGGAAGAACACGGTGAGGAGGAGAAGAACCGAGGAGTGGAGGCCGGAGCGGGTAGGGGGTAGGGTCCAGGGGGGAGCAGACGAGGTTAATTGAGAAGGCGAGGGAGGAGGACCTAGGAGGAGGAGGAGGAGGAGGAGGAGGAGGAGGAGGAGGAGGTTGAGGATGAGGAGGAGGAGGAGGAGGAGGAGGAGGAGAGGGAGCAGGAGGAGGAGTGGGAGAATGGGGATGACCCGGACGGGGTGGGGGAGAACGACAGCTTGGTTATAGTAGATCGAACAGCGATGCTGGGCAACAGATCGGGCGTTTGGACATTGACCACTCGATTTGCCTGACGGGGTCGTCCGATGTTTAGAATGTGATTGACCTCCAGCGCGAAACTACCGGTCGAAGGAGGAGGCCGACAATCAATAGCATTTCAGTTTTACCCCTCTCAGAGAGGTGCGTGTGATGCACACACATGAATGGTCTGAAACACATCAGACGGCCCACCCCTGCACTTTCTCGTCTTCTTGTATGTTCGTTTGTCTCGTCCTTCCCCCAGACATGCGACGTCCTCAGTTTTGTTCATACGTGGTCCCTGAAAGTCCCGACCCTTTCCCCAGTGCTGGTTTTTCGTCTTGAGGCGTCGTTTGACGGTCCCGAGGCCCGGCGAGGGCTACCCAAGGCCGAACATAGCCAAAAATCTCCTGTCCTGATTTTTTTCACGACGCGGTCATGTCTGGGTTGGGCTCAGCATCAGCCCGATTTGGCCGAGCACACGCTGCTGCGTTCAGGCTCTCGCGCTGCGACCAGGCTCTTTCCGCGGTGGGCCACGTCTGGCCGCAGCCGCAGGGCCAGGGCGGCCTCCTCCAGCAGCAGCAGCAGCAGCAGTAGCAGCCTCGCGAGCGGCAACGCCAATTCTTTCTCCCAGTGCAAGATCACATCGTCGATTTGGCGGCTCGAGAGCTTCGTTGGAAAACTGATCATCGCCGCATCAATTGATTCACTCCTTCCTCGGAGTTCTCCGCTTCCTCTGCTTCCTCCTCTTCCTCCTCATCCTCATTTTCCTCCCCTGCCTCCTCCTCCTCCTCCTCTTCGCAGGGGCTGTAGGGGAAGCAGGGCACTGCATGTCCTCTCTCTTCACCTCCCGCCCCCGACCCTCCTGGATGGCACGGGGCCAGAAGGGGGGGCCGTGGGAGATGAAGCTGCTGGGCACCGCGGAGGGCGACCTCGTGACAGCGATGCCTGGGACCGTGGAGGACTGGATCGGGAAGGGGGCGGGTGCTGGCGGCCAGAGCGGCAAGCTGCTGGCTCTGCAGGGGGGCACGGGGTGGAGGAGGAGGAGGAGGAGTAGGAGGAGAAGGAGGAGGAGGAGGAGGAGGAGGAGGAGGAAGAGCAGGAGGGGGTGCGGGCGGGGGGAGAGTGATGAAGGAGGCTGGGGCGGAGGAGGGAGGAGGAAGAAGGCACCGGAGCCCCCGACCAGGCGTGTGCCTGCGCCACCACGAGGCCCTCGCAATGCACATCGGCGGCGAGCGACGGGGGGGGGAGCGAGAAAGAGACGGCCCCATCGGAAGGCGGCGGGACTTCTCAGGAGGCCTCTCGGAAGGCCGCAGGCCTTCGGAGAGCCCTCTGAGGAGGCCTTCTCCTCCTGATGGGCCGATGTTCCACCACCCTTACCATAGGTAGGAGAGGGAGGAGGAGGAGGAGGAGGAGGAGGAGGAGGAGGAGGAGGAGGAGGAACTCCCCGTCCTCCCTTCTCCCCGTCCTGCCTGTGGTAGTGGTGGTGGGAGATCGGCCCATCACTCTCGTCTTTCCCCCACCCCCGGGCTCGCCGCCGAGACGTGTGCCTGCGAAGAGGCAGGCCCCACAACGTGCAGCACGCGGCAGGCCCCTTGCAGTCTGCAGCCCAGGCCGGGCGCACCTGCGCTCCGCGGGGGGGGGGGGGGGGCGTCGGGCGCGGAGAGGTCGGCAGGCGGCGGCGGGCAGCGCCACGGTGCCCTCGAGCAGCGCTGCAGTCGCAGCCCACGCCACGCTCCAGGATGGAGCAGGCAAGCTCGTGAGTTGCTAGATTTTACGGGGGGTGCTATAAAAGTACCCTTGGCCCAAGGGGCCCCCCAGCTTTTCGCTCAAGTTTGTGGCCCCTGGGGCTCTCTGGGCCTCGTGAGGGGTGCTCTGGAGGCCGTGGGGGTCTCCTTGAAAATCCTGGGGGCACCTTGGGCCAGGGGCACTTCTAGCACCACCCGAGTCTTATGGAAGGAAAATCCTGGAGAGGCTTGTCCAAAGGGAGTTATTTGTCTGGTGGGGTCGTCCGAAGCCCCGCTGGGTCGTCCAAGCGGTCGCCTGGGGCAGGCCGTCCTGTCGCCATTCATCAGCATGGGTTTTCCGGGTTGTCCGGGGGGTTGTCCGGGGATTTGTGGATTGAATTTGAATGTCTTTCCGCCCATCCCGCCACCGTGCCTGGAGCCTGTATTTTCTTCTGGGGCGATAACGGCCGTCACCGGGGGGGAAGGGGGCCGGTGACGTGACGTTTCCGTTCCGGCGGCGTCTGGGAATGCTTCGGAATAACCGAGGATGGGAAGCAGCAGCATGTGGGTGGCGATCTGCACCATAGTGCCTGTGTACACCGCATTGCTTGCGTGCACCACAGCGCCTGTGTACACCACAGCGCCGATGTACACCTCAGCAGCCGCGTTCAGCACAGCGCCAGTGTGCACCACAGTGCGTGTGTGCACCACGGCGCTTCTGAACACCACGGCGCCTGCGTACACCACAGCAGCCGTGCACAACACAGCATCAGTGTACACCACGGTGCCTGCGCTATACAGTGCCTGTGTACATCATGGTGCCTGTGTGCACCACAACAACCGCGCGCAACATAACACCATTGTTGCATACATATATATATATATATATATATTGTTAGAAGGAAGCCTTCATGACAACACGGAACGCCTATGGGTTCCACAGAAAGCAATTGTTTGGTTGACTTTTGGGAAAAAGGAATCCTTGAGGAAAAAGGAGCGTTTCTGGAACATGCGAATCCACGCGAATCCCCCCGCAGTATCCTAATTCCTCCCATTTTCGTCCAGAAGGCTCCTGCAGATTTGGCCATCCGAGAACCAAGTAGACTCATTCAATCGACAGTTGTTCTGGGATGCGCACTGAGATGCGCATGTGCGTTGTAGTGCCGACCCGCACGACGGGGGGAAGTGTGAGGGAGGAGGAGGAGGAGGAGGAGAAGGGAGGAGGGAAACACATCGCATTTTATCATCAGCATTCCCCTTGCGTGATGTCTAGCTGTCGGCAGCCGATCCTCAACTACATGCTCCTTCTACCTGTCTGTGCACGCAGGCATTGTGGTGCACACCAGCGCTGTGTTGCACGCGGGTGCTGTGGTGTACACAGGCGCTGTGGCGTGCACAGGTGGTGCGGTGCACGCAAGCATTGTGGCGCACACAGGCGCTGGGTTGCAAACGGTTGCTGCGGTGTACACATGCGCTGCGGTGTATACAACAGTTGTTGTGCATGGAAACACCGTGGTGTGCACAGGCCCTGCATTACACATGGCTGTTGCGGTGTACACAGGCGCTGCGGTGTACACGCGCGCTGTTATGCACGCGAGCAATGCGCTGTGGTGCAGATCGCCACCTACTTGCTGCTCCGACTTGGCTTCGGTTATCCCTGGGCATTCCCAGACGCCGCCGGCGCGGAACGTGACGAGGAGGAGGAGGAGGAAGAAGAAGAAGGAGAAGAAGACGAGGAGGAGGAGGAGGAGGAGGGGGAGGAGGAGGAGGGTGAGGATGAGGAGGAGGAGGAGGAGGAGGAGGAGGAGGAAGAGGAGGAGGAGGAGGTTGAGGAGGAGGAGGAGGAGCGGTGTGGCCAGAGTCCGAATCGACGAGCACAGTCGGCCGCAGGCCAGAGCAGAACAGGAGGGGGTGAACGTGAGGAGGAGGGAGGAGAGGGGAGGGAAAACGGATGAAGAGACGGAAGAGGAAGGAGGGGCCGAGGAGGACGACGTGCTTGCCAACTTCCTCATCAAGAAGGTGGGCAGAGAAGGCGGCGAAGGTGCTAGCGGCTCCCAGGCCACCGTGCTCTGCCACTTGGGCATATGGTCGTTCTGTGTCAATGTTGAAGCTTCTCTCGTCTTGAAACACATGTTGTGTGAGATTGCGTCCTGCACTGGAGGAGTCCAACCGAGAAGGCGGCGGGGGCGTGAGTGCTGCAGCAGCAAGAGGAGATGACAGTGTACGTGTGGGCGCACGGTGTGCGCTGTGCGGTGGCTCACGTGTGCATGCGGACGCTCGTGCACGAGCCGTCCGCGCCCACGCGTGCATGCATGGGCGCGTGCACGCTGGCTGCCTTGCTGACCGCCCCGTCGCCGCTGCCGTACTCCTCACCATCCGCGTACGGTGTCTCCGCTGTCGCCACTGTCGTCTTGTTGCGATGTATATGTGTAGGTATATATGTATATCTATAGATGTAGTTATGTGTACGTGTATATATGCATATATACATATATGTACTTAAATGTACATATATATATATATATACATCTGGCCACGGTATGGCCCCCAGCAGGCACGATGCAGGGGGGCGTTGCACATGTTCCTTGGCACTCGGCCACTCGGCGCCAGGCATGCGCGTGCACCTGGGCTCGCTCGCAGGGGCGCGAAGCCGATCGTGCGCCGCGGTCTTGGCAGCGCCCGGCCCATGTCAAGGGCGGCCGCGCAGGGTGCGCGCCGAGAGTGTTCCTGCTCGGGCGTGCGCGCACGCAGTTTCGCCCCCCGCTGGTATGCAGCCATGACGAAAAGGTGGATGATGGTGATGAGGATGAGGATGATGAAGATGATGAGGATGACGATGATATGGTGATGGTGTTGGTGATCATAATGATGATCGTGATGATAATGATGGCGATGGTGATGGTGATGACAATGATGATGGTGATGGCGGTGATTGTGATGGTGATGGTGGTGGTGATGACGATGATGGCGGCGATGGTGATGATGGTGGTCATGATGGTGGTGATGACGATAAAGTGGCATGATGATGTCGGTAACGGTGCTGGTGGTGATGAAGATGATGATGATGATGAGGAGGAGGAGGAGGAGGATTGTGATGATAATGATAATGCTGATCATGAGGGTGATGATGCTGATGCTGATGGTGGTGATGATGGTGATGCTTGGGATGCTGCTGATGATGGTGGTGCCGATGATGGTGATGAATGTGATAGTGATGATGGCGTTGCTGCTGCTGATGGTGATGATGGTGATGGTGATGCTACTGATGATGATGCTGATGATGATGATGAGGATGATGATGATGATGATGATTGTGATGATGGTCGTGATGATGATGATGCTGGTGATGCTGACGATGGAGGTGACGTCATGATGATGAGGATGATCGCGATGAGTTTCATGAGTATGCGTATCATGAGGATGATTATGACAATGAGGAGCATGGTAATGATGATGCCGGTTGTGATGATGGCGATGATGATGATGGAGATGTTGATATTGGTGATGGTGACGAGGATGATGTTGACGGTCATGATGATATGATATGTTGTGACGGTGATGATGATGTTGGGTGATACTGATGATGGTGAGAACGATGCTTGTATTTCTCATGATGATAATGTTGATGGTGGTGGTGGTGGTGATGCTGATGCTGATGCTGATGCTGATGCTGATGTTGATGCTGATGCTGATGCTGCTGCTGATGATGATGATGATGCTGATGATGATGATGATGATGATGATGATGATGATGATGATGATGATGGTGATGATGGTGGTGCTGACGATGGCGCTGCAGAGTGCGCAGGCGCACTCTGCCCCCCCTCCCCCCTTGGTGTGCAGCCAACATGCTTCTGGCCCAGGCGCCCGCCTCTCTCCTGCTCGCGCTCCGTCGCCGTCTGCCCGTTCCCTCTCCTCCTCCTTCCTCCTCCTTCCCCCCATCCCCCCTTTTTTGTTCTGCGTCTTTCTCTCACGTGTGCTCTGTTTCTCTCATGCCCGTTCGTCTTCCCCCATCCTCTCCCCCCCGCGCCCGCTCTCGCGCGAGCGCCGCCGAGGAGGACTCCGCCTCCGTGGGCCAGCCGCTGCAGGCTGTTGCCCGCCGCCGGCTTGGGGGGGAGGCCCTCCTCCCGAGAGCACCTCTCGGGGTCCCTCCGCGTCACCACCCTCCTCCTCCTCCCCCTCCTCCTCCTCCTCCCCCTCCTCCTCCTCCTCCTCCTCCTCCTCCTCCTCCTCCTCCTCCTCCTCCTCCTCCTCCTCCTCCTCCTCCTCCCTCGGGGGCCCCCAGACGGTGCTTTGACCACACCGTGCGGTTGGGCCCATGTCGTGTCGGCTGCCAGCGGCCGCCAGCGGCCCTGCATCGACCGAGGTCGAAAGGGCGGACAGCCACGATCCTTCAGGGCGGACCGATCCACCCCGCGTCAGAAAATCAGCGCCGACGTCGTCACGACACGAGAACTTGCCGCAATCAGACGGGGTGCGGGGTCACCGCACCGTTTTGCAAGGGCTCCCAGGAGGGCGCGAAGTTATTCGCGCTTCGCGCTTCGCCGTCCTCATTGCTCCTCCCCCTCCTCCTCGTCCTCCTCTTCTCCCCCTTGGGGGGCGGCGCGAGAGCGCGAAGTTATTCGCGCTTCGCGCTTCGCGCAGCGCGAAGCGCGAACTTAGGAGCCCTTGTTTTGGGACTCGGGTCGTTCTCCGAGGGCGTCTCGGGCGATCGGGGCTTCCAGGGTCCCGAGACCGCGCGGTGACGGACCGTGCGGAGAGGTCTCTTGGGATTCCGAGGTCACCATTGTGTTCTGGAACCACGAAACTTGGTTGCTGTCTGTTGCTGGTCCTCGGCGCCACCACGCCATACGGTCAACATGGTGGAATCCAGGCCTTCAGGCATTAAGCAGCTCCTGTCCTACACCCGATGTAGTTCTATGATGTTGAACTCCCAGTGCGACTGCCAAATATCTACAGCATTATTGTGCGCGCGCTTGTTTCCGTGTTGGTGCCCTCTTGGTTCAGGTTCTTCGTGAGGTTGAAACAGTCATTGTCCGACTGTGTTCCCGAACATCGCTTGGAATGTTTTGCGCGTCAACACCGAAAATTATCGAGTTTGAGTTGCTTCATCTTCCAAGTCATCCTGTGGTGTTGGGTCCTTGTCTTGGAGAGACAGTGCCTCGAGTTCCTCCTCTCCTCCTCCTCCTCCTCCTCCTCCTCCTCCTCCTCCTCCTCCTCCTCCCCCTCCTCCTCCTCCTCCTCCTCCTCCTCCCCCTCCTCCCTCCTCTTGTCCTTCACTCTGCTGTCCGCATGTCCACCATTCCGGCACACCCCTCGCACGTTCCGTAGCCCCAAAGGCAGCTCCACCGAATGCTTCAGTGACAGTACCCGCATGCGCTTCGACCCCTCAGTCTGAGGCATCCAGTCACACGTTTCGTTCCCCCATGGAGAGCCACACCGAAGGCCCCAGTGGCTGCGCCCGCGTGCGGTTCCACCCCCCATGTCTGCAAACCTCTCAAGCGTTTCGTCCACCCCCCCTTTCGGTCCACCCCTCACGCGCTTCGTGGCCCCATAATTAGGGTGCTCCACCGAAGGCCCCAGTGGCAGCGCCCGCACGCGGTTCCACCGCTCATGTCGGTGCGCACCCCTCACACGGTTCGCGGCCCCATATGGGGAGCTCCACCGATGGCTTCTGCGGCATCGCTCGCATACGGTTCCACGCCCAATTTCGGTACACCCCTCACACGTTTCGTGGGCGCTCCACCGAAGGCTTCAGCTGCAGCGCCCGTCGGCACATCCCTGACATTCTCTGTGCTCCCATGGGGAGCTCTACCGAAGGCCCCAGTGGCAGCGCCCGTACGGTGGCCCCGCCCCACGTCGGCACACCCATCACACGTTTTCGTGGCCCTATAGGAAGCTCCATCGAAGGCGGTATTCGACACGGCGGTACTTTCAACTGCAGATGGTTGGGTCCTTCGTCCGGAAGTGTTGTGTTCAGCCTCTGGAGATCGTGCTCGGGCCCCGTGGCAGTCAAACATTTCGGCTCGGGGATGAGAAAGCAGCCCTAGGGAAGGGGTCGACAGTTCCCGGATTTTGCGATCCGACAATGCCGGGTCGCCGGAGGTCCGGGCCGTGCGGTCAGCACGCTGGAAAGTGGGACAGGTTACGGTTGGCCCGCGGGGTCCCTAAAGGCTTTTCTCTCGGGGGGCCAGCAGAAGACCTCCGATCTTGCCAGCTCGGGGCAACGTGGGCTCCTCGTTTGAGGTCCTGGTCACCTCTATGCAGCAGAACGTTGGGGGGGCGATGAATCGCACCCGACACCCACGCTGCTCACAGCCTGACAGTGCCCCTGTTACCTCTCCTCCCTCCTCCTGCCCTCTGCACCTCCTAGTATCCCCCCTCTCCTTCCTCCTCCTCCATCCTCCTCCTCCTCCTCCTTCTCATATCCTCCTCCTCCTCCTCCTCCTCCTCCTCCTCCTCCTCCTCCTACTCCTCCTCCTCCTCCTCCACCCCCTCCTCCTCCTCCTCCTCCTCCTCCTCCTATCCTCCTCCTATCCTCCTCCTCCCCCTCCTCATCCTCCTCCTTCTCCTCCTCCTCCTCCTCCTCCTCCTCCTCCTCCTCCTCCTCCTCCAGCTGGGGAGCGGCTCGAGAGCAGGGGGCGGACGCGGCAGGCGCGCGACATCGTAACCCTGACAGGATTCAACCAGAAGCTCCTGAAGGCGTACGACGGGGACAGCAGGCCGCGGCGGTGGACCGCCGTGACCCCCTCGCGCGCCTCTGGGGGCGGGGAGGGAGGATGGAGGAGGGGAGCAGCGGGAGGAGAGGGAGAGGGAGGGAGGGAGGGAGGGGGCGGGAGGGAGGAGGGAATAGGCGGAGGCAGATGGGAGGAGCCCAGATGATGGGAGGAGGAAGAGGAGAAGGAGGAGGAGGAGGAGGAGGAGGAGGATAGGAGGAGGAGGAGGAGGAGGAGGAGGAGGAGGAGGAGGAGGAGGAGGAGAGGAGGAGGAGGGAGGAGGATAGGCGGAGGATAGGATAGGGAGGAGGAGGAGAATTGGAGGAGGAGGAGGAGGAGGAGGAGGGAGGAGGAGGAGGAGGAGGAGGCGGAGGAGGAGGAGGAGGAGGAAGAGGGGGAGGAGGAGGAGGAGGAGGAGGAGGAGGAGGAGGAGGAGGAGGGGCGTCGTAAAGGGGTCTCGCAGGGTCCCAAGGCCCTGCGCCAACCTTGCGAAGCAAGCTCGCCGGGCTGGCGCGCGGACGCCTCCAATTGAGGGTTCGATCCTCGACCCCCGAAGTTGGAGGCGGCCAGGAGCCAGCTGGCTGCGCTACGTGGCCAACGGGAAGCTGCCCTGGTTACAGACTACTGCCTGCTGCTGGCAGGCGTTGTGGCACATCTGGCCACACATAAACCACCTTCATCCGCACAGCCGGACAGCAATGCTGTACAAGATCCGAACAGTCTTCAGGGCTCAAAGGTATGTCGGCACGTTTTGGGTTTCTATATCGTCGTATCTTGGACTGCTGGCTGATTTGCAAGGTATATGATGGGGATGTGGGAAAACGGCCACACAATTTGCAGCCAGCACGCTCCCGATGCACCAAAAAGATATCATCAAACCTTGGATTGCGCACACAGTGCGCTCTTGACCTCATTCGTCGCCGTTCTGAGGCACGAGGAGCCAGCGACAAAGCGGAAGAGAAGCGGTTGACGAACGAGGTTCGCAAAGCGTGCAAACAAGATAGAACAGTTTGGGTTAATGTGCAGATTTCGACCAGCAGTTGGGACATTCTGAGAATGCATTGCCGGCCCAAATCTCGATGCCAGTGGAGGTTTAGAAATTTAAACGGAGAGTTCCTGAAAAACACTTGACGAGCAAAGACAACGGCAAACACTTTGAAACAAATCAATGAACGAAGTTCTGTGAGCAGACCTGCTGGACGACCAAGTTGAAGATCATTTGCTTACTTTGGAATTGCATTTTACGAGGGAGGAGGTGGGCAAAGCAATCCCGGAACGCTCGCATGGTAGAGCTCTTGGAGTTGACGATGTAATTGCAGAGCATTGGAAGGCTATCGCTACAGACCCAGGCGGGCTTGAATCGAAAACATAACTATGCAACAAGTGTTGGGATGAAGGGGCAGTGCCTGACGACGGGGAGCAATCTATCACTTCCGCAGTACATATATAGATATATATATATGTGTGTGTGCATTTATAAGTAGATTCATTAATCATGTTTTACAAGAAGGCCGCCGACACTTGCGACAACGACCGTCCCATTAGCCTGTTCCGTGTTGCGTACAGACGAATGGCGGGCCTCTGTTGCGGCGATTACAAGGTGCAGGGGCAGAGGACATTGTATCACCGACACAGCTTTGCTTCCGATGGGGGTGCGGGACGTCAGATGCAGTACACGCTGTCCGCAGAAGTAATGAGCTAGATTACCCAGACTAACAAAGGGGTGCAGCGTGTGTCGCTTCGGATTGGAAGAAGGTCTTTGGTTCGCTGACTGTCAGGGCGTTGGTGGAGACATTGCGAAAGGTTGGCGTTCTTCGGCGAGTTATCACCCTTGTCGGTGACATTCACGCGGGGTGGAAATCCAGTGTGGTGGATGGACGACAACGGTCACCGAAACCGAAAAAGAACACAGTTGTCCAGGATATCATCGCAGGGTTGCCCTCTCTCGCCGCTCTTCCTAGAATTGGTGATGGCGACGGTGATTCGAAATGCCTCTCGAAACGCAATCGGCGAAGTCTCACAGGCTTTGAAAGACAAGCCTTTGGGCTTTCATTGCGTGCTGGTGACGCCCTTCTCGTGGGCCGCAAACAGGACCATCTACAACACGTACTAGGCGAAGCTACTGGAGTTGCATTGGGGTTGTGTTCAATTCATGCCGATCCGATGCGACACTGCTCTCTCGACGCCCTCTGGCTGGCTAGCTTCGGCAAATGATTCGATGATCTATCTCGGAACCACACTCTCAAATTCTGGACAGTTTGGCGGAGAATTGGGGGAAGGGTTCGGAGCTGCATGCGGGGTGTTCTGCAGACGCAACCGCGCCTGGAAGCGCACGACAAACCACATTGCCAGAAAGCTCGAAGTTTTTTCAAGCATGGGTGGCAAGTAAAGTAATTCCTCACGCTTCGCGTATCCCCACCAGCCCATCCAGAAGTCCTGCCCACGAGAGCTGACGGGAAACAGGACGAAGGGACACATCTAGGGAAACAAAGCGAGCAACCAGGATGAACCGAGAGATCTTTGGGAGCAAGGGGGTGGCTTTGGAAGGCCTCTTCGAGCCATCCCTGGGGGCCGCGAGGGGACGATGGGAAGAAGAGGAAGAGGAGGAGGAGGAGGAGGAGGTCGATCAAAAGATGGGGGGTCCTCGATTTCGGCCCCTTCCCAAGAGCCCTCAAAATCGCCTCTTGGAGCTCTCCTGGGGCTCTTCGGGAGGGTATTGGAGCTCTCTTGGGGCTCTTTTAGGGGTCTTGGGGCCCTCTGGGGGCTCTCTTGGGGCCCTCTTGGGGGCCCTTGAAGGCCTCTTGGTGCCATCTTGAAGACCATCGATCAAAGGAGGAGATGGGATAGCGTTCAGCCCCCCCCAAAGAGGCCAACATGGGGCCAAACCTTGTTAAAACCAATGATTCTGGCTTCCTCGCCGAGGCCGTTTTGGACGCCCTGACCCCCCGCGGAACCCTCCGAAAAAAGTCCAGGGGAGGGGTAAGGAGAGGGGTAAACCCGTTCCCGTAGGGGAAGAGGGTTATTTGTTGGAAGAGGGAAGAGGGATCTCGTTAGACCACCTGCGCCCAGAGGGCTGGTGGGATTCACTCTCTGAACACAGCGTGGCCCAACAGAGCCGAACGCAGAATATTATATGGCACCCATGCGAGGTGCCTACGTCGCAGAGTGCACATTCCCCAAGCGTGTTTTTCAAGAGCTTCTAACGAGCAGGTGTTGTTACAATCGCGTCAACAGCCCTACGCAGTTAGTTGTCTAGGCACCAGCGATTTCGGTGAGGCAAAACATGCAGGGCGACTGATTCTGACTTTCTGCGGCGCCTCACCGTCAAACCAGGAGACACCACGCTGCCAGCCGCAGACGCACGCGCTCACGCAAGGGTCCGGCCCAGGATGACTGGGCGAAGTGTTTGTACAAAGCCGTTCGCCTCCAGTTCTCGTCTGAATCAGCAATGACACACTGTGTCTGCACTGGCGAAGATTTGTGTTTGGTTGTGTCTCTCCTTCCCACTCCCCCTCCCATCCTCCTCCTTCCTCCCCCTGCTGCGCGCGATGAAAAGTAGGGGGCCGGCGCGCCGCCCTTCCCGCAAAGCGGAGAGAATAGGCAGGCTGTATCTTCTTTTGCCCACGCGCTTCGGCGCATGGCATGACTTTCGCGTTTCTTGTTTCAAGCGTCATTTCGTTTGAAACATAGTTGTGGTCGGTCCTTGTCGTATATTTGTCCCTCCACCCGGCTCGACCTGCCTGCCCCGTTGTTTCGAATGGTCCTCTGAGAATTCGGCAAGCCACGCAAACCTTTCTTTGCCTTGAAGAAGCGTCGTGCAGTCCTGCGTCGTTTCACTCGGGGCCGGAGGCCCAAGGAACTGGCATCCCGGTAAGTAGTCAGTATGACACGTTTGCCGCCAACAAAAGTTGAGGAAAAGGAGGAGGAAGAAGAGCAGGAGGAGGAGCGAATAGGAAGAGGGGGGGAGGAGCGAGGGAGGAGGAGGAAGAGGAGAAGGAGGAGGAGGAGGAGGGGGACATGACCTCGTCACTTGTCCGAGCCCATCCCATTCCATTCCTGCCCGCCTCGGCCCCCCGAGGTGCGCGGTGGGCCGGTACCCGGGCACCAGCGCGACGTCGGCCTCCTCCACCGCGACGCCCGCCAAAGGCCGCGCCCGCGGGGCCCCCGCTGGCTGCTGCTCCGTCCTCGGGGCGTCGGTCGTGGACCATCGCCTTCCTCGTCTCGACTACACGTAATAATCAGGAGGAAAAGAAACATACAGGCACAATTAATCTTCGATTCCTTAGAAAATAGGGGAAAATATGGGAAGTGGGGGGGAAGACAGAAACCCAGAAAATATGGGGAATCTTTTTATTCGTGTGAATTTAGTTGTGTGTCCTGGGGCCCCTTCAAATTAACAGTGACCCTTCGTCGGAATCATCTCTGTGGTGCGGGGTCACGGGGGTCCCCCCCAGCACTGGCCTCTGCGCGCTCGGACGTGGCTACCCGCGACCCCCTACAGCAGCGCACCAAAACTCATGCTTGCCCAGGGTCACTCTTGCGTGTAGTCGATCGTCGTCCGCCCCCCTCTCCCGCCGCCCAACAGGAGCGTGCGGACCTCCCGCGCCCGCGGGCCCTGGCTGGCGGCTGCTCCCGCCGCCGTGGCTGCTCCGGCGTCCTCGGAGCGTCGGTCGTGAGTCGTCGTCCTTCGCGCCGTCTGCCCCCCCCCTTCTCCCCCCGCCCAACGTCGGCGGCGAGCGAGGGGGACGCGAGAAAGAGGGGGCTTTCTCAAAAGGCGGCGGGGCCTCTCAGAAGCGCTCCCGGCCTTCTGAGACGTGTCCTGCGTCGTCGGCGAAGGTTCAGGCAGCCTCTCCGAAGGCCGTGGCACTTCCGGGCCCTCTCACAGGGCCCGCCCCGTCTCGCTTCCCCCCCGGGCCCGCCGCCGCCCGGCAGGACCGTGGGGACCTGCTGCCTCGCGGCAGGCCGCGAGGCAGCGGGCAACGCCACTGCGCGCGGAGCTCCACCAGGGCTGGGCTGGGCGGCCCCATTGGGTGCCGCCGTGCGCGCCGGCTTGGCCGCAGTCCTGGCGGCCTCTGGCCCGTTCGTGGTCGCGTCGCGGCCGTCGGCGTCCTGCACGCCGCGCCTGGCTCTCGGCTTGCAGTTGGGCCGGGTCGGTGGTCCGTGCCTGTTGCCCAGCTTGCCCCCAGAGGTGTGATGCTCCAGCCAACCTGTAGCCTGGAGCACCAGTGAGAGTTTCGAGCACCAAGAGAGTGCCGAAACTGGGGGGTGTCCACGCGTCGGGCCCTGGGAGGCGAGCTGCTCGTTCGACACTGCTTCGATCCTTTCCTGGGCGCTCGAAAGATTATTTCTCGGTGCTCGAAATGATTTCCTGGGCGCTCGAAATATTATTTCCTGGGAGCAACATACAGTCGGGGCGCTGAAGAAGGAACCCTTTTCATTGCGAAGGGGCTCCGGGCTCCTTAATTGTTTCGCAGCTTGCCTTGGGTTTTCCTTTGGTTTTCGATATGACATTGAAGTTTAACTTATGGAAAAGAGGGGCCTCGTTCCTTATGTAGGGTTCCTTGGGTCAACGCCCGGACTGTAGCCCCAGAGGTTGTCGGCCTGTCGTGCGGCGGCACGGCTTGCGCCAGGCGGGCGCTCCCGCCGCCACGCCCGCAGCTCCGACGCCCTCGGGCCCCCTCGGCGCGCGCCGCGGGGTCCTGCAGCACTTGCAGCACCGTCGCGGCCGCCCCGTGCGGCGCGCGCCGCGGGCGCCGCCGCCTCCTGGGAGCTGCTCGCGCGCTCGACTTCGACAAGTTTTAGGTCGGGCCTGTCCCTCTACAGAGGGGGGGATGTTCCAAAACAGTCCAAAAAGTAGTCTGGGGACTATTTGTTGTGTTTTTTATTTCCGCCCAGAATCCCCCTGTAGGGGCACAGGCCCGACCCAAGACAAGTGTCGAGGCATCCCAGCGGCTCGGTGCCCGCGGCCGGCGGGCGGCAGAGCGAGGCCTCCGGTGCCCCCCACCAGCCAGGAAGGCGCCCACGCGCAGGAGCAGCGCGCACTCGAGCTGCAGCCTCCCCGCACGCAACCACGGACGCTGCGTTTCGGCACCACGGCCATGTCGTCTTCCGCCTCTGCCTCCCCCGCCCTGACCCCGAGACCCCGCGCTCGGCGGCCATCCCGGGGTGGAAGTCAGACGGGGCGGGCCTTCTCAGAAGGCTCGGAAGTCCTCCGGCCCGCGGAGAAGTTCCCCAACCGCACAGAAGACTTCTCAGAAGGCGGGAGGGCTTCTGAGAAGCTCCACCGCCTTTGAGAAGGCCTACCCCTTTCTGCTTCCTCCCCTCGCTCGCCGCCGACACGCGGCGAAACGACACCCCCTCCGCGGGGAGGCGCTGTTCCAGGAGCAAGGGCCGATACTGTGGACACGGTGTTGCCCGTTGACCGCCAGGAGACCTTCTTGCAGCGGTGGTCACAGGCCACTCTCGGTATGCAGAAGGCGCTTTGCATCAGGAGAGTACGTGGATGACTCGCGCCATCTCCCACTACTCTGCGCCTGGTTGATCTGCTGCGATTGTTGGCAGGGCCTCGGCAAACGCACCCCCCTCCACGTCGACGCGCGTCTCACTTGCGCAAAATTGGCTTGGTTCTAAATAAACCTCTTC